TTTGGCTGTGAGCAACATGGTCACGGCTGCAGTTTGTCTTCCAGTGAACAAAGCAAGTAGGTGAGGTAATAAACACCCACCTTCCCTCTCTCAAAGTCACCGTTACACTCATAACTGTCCCCGTGAAACAAAAGCAGTTACGAACCAAAATGAGTCTGAGGGAAGGGGACTTCAAAAAGTAACTTTAATGTCACACAAATACATATTTTAGCAGTTTACTAAATAATAGGAAAGTTTAAACTTCAGTTGTATGATATTGCTAAAAAATAAACAGTAGAGAATGGGTGTAGCAAAAATCTAAGTTTTACTGAGGATTGGTCTCAAACGGGGCAAAACAGGTATCCAGCGGAATACACGCTTAGTAAAGAGTCAAAAACAAAAGCCAAGCAATGTAACAAGCTCTGCACCAAAGACACAAACTGGTTTAAAGAATCACAGGAATTATGTTTCATCAGATTTCTAGGAAATACAAAAAGTTATGAGTCCGTCAAAAAAAGTGTTAGGTTTCAGTAACACACCAAGAAAGAAGAAATGAACGAAGGGTCTCCTATTCCCCCCTATTACACTTATAAAATACAATCAGTTTGAATATGTATAGATTAGACATTAAACTTAATGTTGCATTTAAATAAACATTTTCCTCTGAACAGAGTCTTTGGTTCCTTTTTTAGTTTCCGCCATCACAGACCTACTGTTTGTTGTCATTGCTTTAACTGTAATTAAGATATGCATAATGTTTGGAAAACACTTCCCCTTTCTTCTCATTTACAAACAGAAACGAAAATATAAGAAAATGAAAACACATTTAGGTTAATTTATCTTTCACAACAAAGTGAAAAGATACATTTTTATCATGTGTGAACTCTCATGTGTTCCTTCAGACTTCCCTGCACTGTAAATCTTTTCCCACAAACATCACATCCAAATGGTTTCTCTCCTGTGTGAACTCTCATGTGTTTCTTCAGGTTTCTCTGCACTGTAAATCTTTTCCCACAAACATCACATCCAAATGGTTTCTCTCCTGTGTGAACTCTCATGTGTGTCTTCAGATGTCCCTTCAGTGTAAATATTTTCTCACAAACATCACATTCAAATCGATTCTCTCCCGTTTGGACTCTTTTCTGTGAATCTACCTTTTTCTTCACTCTCAAACATTTCTTCGGAACCAAACAGCTCATGGACATTTTTCCATAATTACACATCATGTGTCTCTTAAGAAAGCCCTTGTAGTAAAATATATGACTACACTTGAAGAAGCTGAAGGATTTCTTGCCAGTGTTACAGACTACATCTTTTACAATTGTTTCCTTAACTTTCAGAGCATGTGTAGCAGAATCTGGTGCCCTGGTCTCCTTCCAATCACTGTCACTCTCCTCTGTTTCAGATCCAGAATCTAACAAAGGCTTTTGCCAATCATCATAACTGACTTCCGTCTCAGAGGAGTCAGAAACCATTTCATCATTAGCATTCGGTTGTGCATGACGATCTGGATCTAGGTTCCCGGCTGGTCCTGATCCTCCACAGTCCTCTACACCAGTAGCTGAGCTGCTGGCTGGAGGCTCTGCCTCTCTGTTATCCTCCTTTTGGCTATGATGAAGCTGTGAAGATTGAAGTATCTCATCGTCATCTTCAATCTCCAAAAGCACAGTATTGAATAGGAACCTGGTGACATCTGCCTCCTCCAGCCCTTTGAGGTGATCTGCCTCCAGACTGGTCCAGAGTTCCTTTGGCTCCTCTTTTATGCGGAGGGGCTCTTGGTCCTCTTTTATGCGGAGGGGCTCTTGGTCCTCTTTTATGCAGAGGGGCTCTTGGTCCTCTTACTCCTCTTTTATGCAGAGAGCTCTTGGTCCTCCTGGTCCAGGCTGGGGCTCCCCTCAGGGGGAATATCTTCTTTCATCACCAATAGCAGCTGGACATCTGCAGGGAGAACATTATGGACAACTGTGAGGTCACACTCATGTCTCTGGTATCATTACATTATGTTACTGAGATCTAGTGTCACACATCAGACCAATACTAAATAAGTGTCGCAATACCCTCCCGTTAAAAAACGGTTCAATACCCCATTTCATTAGTACCGTTACTTTAAGAATGGCAGTACTTTATTGAGAGCCGTATTTTGGAGTTGAGTCAATGTGCGACAGCAGATATCTTCTTCCACTCGCTACAGACGTAGTGGGAGCGTTTTTCTCTCATATGTAAATACAAGTGTCCTTATCTACTGTCCACGGCTCGTCTGCAAATACGACAAACAGTGAAATATGGCTGTAAAGTGCTGCAGGGTTTTAATTTGTGTCTATACTTATGAAGGTAATACAGTAATATCAGAGAGGCTCCGTAGGCTGAACCAAGATGTAAATTAAAGAGTATTACAGCAATGCTTTCCAGCTCGTCTTAGGGAACCCCAAGGTGTTCCCAGGCCAATCCAGATCAATAATCTCTCCAGCGTGTTCTTGGTACCGTAGTTGGATGTGCCCAGAAAACCTCTAAAGGGAGGCGTCCAGGAAGATCCTGATCAGTTCTCCAAACCACCTCAGCTGGCCCTTTTCCACGTGAAGGAGCGGCAGCTCTACTCCAAGCTCCCTCCAGATGTCTAAGCTCCTCACCCTATCTGTAAGGCTTAGCTCAGCCACCCTACGAAGGAAGCTCATTTCAGCAGATTGTAATCACGATCTCATTCTTTCGATCACTACAAAAAGCTCATGACCATAGGTGAGGGTCGGACCGTAGATAGACTGGTTAAATTGAGAGTTTAGCCTTCTGGCTCAGCTCCCTCTTCCCCACAATTGTCCGACACAACGCCCGCACTAAACCCCCTGTCCATCTCACGCTCTATTTCATCCTCACTGTAAACAAGAACTTGAGATACCGACATACTGCCTTCACTTGGGGCAGGGACTCACTCCCAAAGCTGAGGGTGCAATCCATAGTCTTCCAGGAAAGGACCATGGCCTTGGAGGTTCTGACTCTTGTCCCTAAACTTCACATTCGGCTGCAAACCACCCCAGTGCGTGCTGAAGATCAGGTTCTGAAGGAGCCAATAGAACCACATCATCTGCTAAGAGCAGAGACGCAATTCTGAGGTCCCCAAACCGTCCTCTTCTGCTCCCGGCTGTGCCTTTAAATCCTGACCGTGAAAATCATAAACAAAGGATTGGTGACAAGGGACAACCCTGGTGGAGGTGTTGTGGCAGAATGAAGAGGAGAGACGCAATTCTTGGAGTTGCAACCAGCGGGGACCGTTTATTCTTGTGCTCAAAATGACAAGTTCACAACAGATCCAAAATGTCAGAGTTTTTACGTCTGACTTTTATACCTTAGTTCTCTTCTCAATAGTAATTCAGGGCAGTATTGATTCAAATCCAGCCTAATCTCGCCTGGAACTCCTCTGGAATCCCTCTAGGCTGCCCTACAGCGTCTAACTGGATATGTTGGTCAGTGTAAAGGGAAATCTGTGCTCAAAACAATGTGCGGAAAAGCATAAAAACACAGATGGGACACATCCCAGTCCCCGAAGGGCCGTTCAAACACTTTGTCATAGACTATGTAGACATGATAAAATCAACATATGGAAAGCGCTACATGCTAGTGGTAATTGATCAATTCAGTCCCTGGGTGGAAGCAACTGCATCAAAAAACCTAGGAGCTGAAACTGTTGTCAAGTTTCTGACAAAGGAAGTCTTCCCACGATTTGGCATACCATCAGAAATAAACTCAGATAATGGTTCAGCATTTGTGCAGAAAGTAGCCACGGGGATTTTAGAACAGTTGACAATCAAACGGAGGTTGGGGGCCGTGTACCACCCACAAAGTCAAGGTTTAGTGGAACAGAATAACGCAAAGTTGAATAAGACCTGTGCAAGCACTAAGCTAAACTGGGTGGATGCTTTGCCACTTGTGCATGCAAACTCACAGGAGCATGCACCTAACCCCGCATGAAATGCTGACAGGTAGACCTATGGCCGCACCTCAACTAAGAGGCCCCTACAAGGAACCCCCACTTGAGCAGCTGCAAATAGAGTTAAAAGTCTATATGAAGCAACTCACTGCCATACATAGATCCATCTACTTGCAGGAGAAGGGAAAAGAGCCAGGCTCCAACCAGAAGCCCAAGAAACCAGTGGTACCAGGGGACCAGGTGTACGTTAAAGTCTTCCAACGAAAGTGGCACGAGCCAAGGCGGGAAGGTCCCTATAGAGTGGTGCGAGCAATGCCAACAGCGGTCCAGGTCGAAAGAAGTACAACGTGGTATCACTTGAGCCATTGCACGAAAGTCCAAGACAAAACCAAGGGCAGTGCGAAGTCAGAAAAAAATGACTAACAAGGTAAGCCTGGAACATGTGTTGAAACGAATGGCGTTTTGATGTGGACGCTGTTAGGAAGCGTGGAGCAGGAGAGACTGATGGTGGTGAAACCTGTGACACCACAGACCATGCAGGTCAGCGCCCAGACGGTGACTCAGCCATCCTGGAGGAGAGCCAGAAACCATGAATCAGATGAGTACGACGCAACCACACATATTCTAACCCATGCTAGACCAGGACCTAAGCCAGCATTGCCATTTAAGTTCAAACCGGCCTATCCAGGGTTCAGACAGTTGCACGCTAATACACGTAGAAAGAGACGACCATGGAGAAAAACAGTACAAAGTAGAAGTGTCAAAACTGTGCAGGCATAGTGGGGCTGACCGGTAGCCGGTATACCGGTTTCAATTTCCCGTACGATATCATGGCCATAACTTTTTTAACAACAATTAATAACCCGCAATTAACGCTCTTTAACAGCGCAAAACACCACGACACAACAGTTTGTGACACATAAACAATTAGTAACACTAATAATTGTACATTTATAAAATTACCCCGCCGAACTGCATGCTGGGTACACTGGGTCTGTTAACAGCTAGAAGAAGCTCTGTCGCGACATTAAAGAACAGAAAATAGCGATGCAGGAGGAACAGAGAGAGACCGGAGATGCACCAGTACAATTTGTGCCCAAGAGAGGAGCTGTGTCTGCTGTTTGGAGGTTTTTTGGTTTTAAAATATCAAACATAGATCAAAATACAATATATTGTAAAGTTTGTCGAGCCGCTGTTGTTGCCTCTGGAGGCAACACTAGCAATTTACTCCATCACCTCAGCTGAAAACATGTGTTGGAATACGAAGAGTGTATGCAATTACGGTCCTCGGATTCGAGGCCGTCAACCAGTCCGAGTGAATCAGTGAAGCCAAAGGGTCAGACATCGCTTCAAGAGGCATTTGCTCGAGGCAGCGCTTATGACAAAAAAAGCAAGCGGTGGCGTGAAATTACAGACGCAATAATGATCCACCTCTGCAAGGACATGGTCCCGCTGCAGACAGTCGATAAAGACGGGTTCAGTGCAATGGTTGAAACGCTGGATCCAAGGTACGTCATACCGGGGCGAAAGTACAACACCGAAGCAAGCTGGAAGCGGAGCTACGTACAGTCGCCCACTTTTCGACAACAACGGACCTGTGGTCAAGTCGCACAATGGAGCCATACCTGAGCATAACGGTGCACTTCATCAGTGATGACTGGGAGTTGTGCAACCACTCTTTGCAAACGTCGTATTTCCCGGACGACCACACCGGAGAAATAATTGCACAAGGCTTGAGAGAGGCACTTGAGTCCTGGAGACTGGGAGAGGAGAGGCAGGTGGCCCTAACAACTGACAGTGGGGCCAACATCGTCAAGGCAGTCGAGCTGAATAATTGGAGAAGACTCCAATGCTTTGGACACAGGCTTCACCTTGCCATAGGTAAATATGAATATTTGTAGTAATTAAAGAATTTGTTTTTTGAAGTAATTATATTATTAATAGCCTAAAAGTAGTAAATATTTAAAATTGTGTGATGTTTTCAAAAATGGGTGGTGTTTTTATTAACGTTTGAATAATATTTCTTAATAGCAAAAAAGTATTAAACATTGTGTTTGTTGGTTTTACAGAGAGAAGTGTAAAAGATGCCCGCATAGAACGTGCAGTCGGTGTGTGCAAAAGAATTGTTGGTGCCTTCTCGTACTCCTGGAAAAGGAAGAGGGACCTGGCCATTGCTCAGGCTGAACTTGGCCTGCCAAAGCACCAGCTCACAACAGAGACGCCTACTAGGTGGGGATCACGACAAAAGATGATCCAAAGACTGACTGAGCAGGAGAGAGCCATAAGTCAGGTGTTTAAAGCTGACAAGAAAACAAGGCACTTGGTGCCCAGCTGGCAGGACATGGATGTGCTGGAGTCAGTAAACAAGGTGTTGAGCCCACTTCAGGAGTTCACAGATGCCTTGTCTGGTGAATGCTATGTTAGTGTCTCATACCTCAAGCCAGTACTCCATCTCTTCAATGAAACCATTCTTGCTGAGGGAGAAAATGACACTCAACTGACCAAGGACATGAAGACTATGTCCTTGGTCAAGTAGTGAATGGTCTAAGTAGGTTAGACCATTCTAACCTACTTGAATGAAAAGTACTCAGATCCTGGCACAGATGACCTGCTAGACATGGCTTCTCTTCTTGATCCCTGCTTCAAAACTACCTACATCAGGAATGAAAAGGTTGATGAAATCAAAGCTAGAGCAGTAGAAGAGATAAAATCACTGCTGACAGAGCAACAGGCAGACACCACTGGCACTTCATCAGCACTCCCAAGGGCTGTAGCAGCAGCAGCAGCTGAACCTGAAGTAAAAATAAAAAAGAGTTTGGCCAGCAGCACAGCTCAGAGCAGAGGAGCAACTCTCTCAGACGAGGAGACTGTTAAAGTGGAGCCGAGAAGCTACCTGCAGGCCGTGGAGGTCAACAGTGACACTGACCCATTGGAGTGGTGGAAATGCCACCACCTTTGAATACTGTAGCTTGAAGGATAATGTGAATCTATACCAGGCTTGTTTCTTAACGTTTGAGAAATATCTATTGGAATATTTAAATACTTTGAGTATTTTAGGTCAGTTTATAGTGTTTATACAACAATTTTAAAATATTTTGTTTTGGAAAGGAAGCCATGTTTAAGTTGTTGTCATATCTATTTATTTTTAAGTTCTGTTTTAACTACGTTGCAGTTTGCACTTTGCATGATAAAAATTGTTTACATTCTGCAACTGTTTCATGCATTCTGATTCCTTCATATATTGTAACATTTTGTGGGGCCAAGCAAACCCTATAGTAATCAAAGCCTTTATACTAGTGCTGGGCAACGATTACAATTTTTAATTCAAAAGTAGTGTATTGCCCACTTTTATTTTAAAAGTACTGCTATATGAACAAAAGTGCAATAACATTTGGTTTGCAAACACTTTAAACACATCAGGTTCTTTTTAGCAGCAGTATTCCCTTTACACAGTAGCAGTTAAAATACAGTTATGATGCTGATAATAGATATTCAGCCGGTGTTCACAACTTTATTTTCATGTGTGTAAGAGATGCAATTTGAAATACACACCTTGAAAACTGCAAACCTATATACGTCATGTTTTATGTTTGTTAAATTCTCAGAAGCGATAACTAAATGATATGATTATTATACATATTACAAACAAAACACTTTAAAAACTCTAAAAGCATAATTTAAATGAATCGTTTATTTTTTGCTTTTTTGGGTATTTTGATCAGACACATATGCAACGCTGATCGTAATATGTGTGGTATTTGTTCTAAATGTACGTTGATACATGGAGGGATTTAGGACCCAGTAGGTGAAGGAAACAGGAAGTGAAGGAAACAGGAAGTGACGGAAGCCACGCCACACAAACAGCTGTTCACCGCCGGTTGACCGGCCGTTCTTGCGTTAGTTTACGGTGTTAATTAATTAATGCGGGAAAAATGTTATGCTAAGCTAAGATTGTAGCAGCTCCATCAACACTCAAAATAACTTAATCTAGACTTTTTATTGTTGTTCATTACATATAAATTCTACAGTTAATAAACATACATATACACATTTCCTCTGGTTTGTGTACTAATATTGGTCGGGGCGATTGGTTGCCCCGTCGCTCAGAGGTCCCTGCGGCCGATCGACCCGGTCACAGCTGTTTTCTGTCCTGGCCCCACAGTGGTGGAATGAACTTTCCACTGACGTCAGGACAGCAGAGTCGCTGCCCATCTTTCGGCGCATGCTGAAAACTCACCTCTTCAAGAAGTGCTACCCTGAGCCTTCCACTTAGCACTTATTGTATTCATACTAGTTTGTTGCACTTATTGTTTTTGTTTGTTTTTGCACTGTACTTTGGCTCTGGGTTATGCTCTTAGATGCTTGTTTAAAAGAGGAGATGCACTTATGACTTCTGGTGTCTAGTAGGTCTCTTGAATACCTATGTTGAATACACTTACTGTAAGTCACTTTGGATAAAAGTGTCTGCTAAATGACTGTAATGTAATGTAATATGAGGTAGAAAATTAGCTCTAGCTAACGGTGGAACATTTACATTGAGATGAGAACTGAAATGTCGATCTAATGTGCATTTTTTAATTTAATTTAAATTAATGGACATTCAATTTAAATTTAATTTTATATAGTTTAAATTAATTTGAATGGACATTCAGTTAAAATTTAATATAATAGACATTAAATGAAAATGAAATTAATGCAAATTAGATTAAATGAGAACTCTGTGGAACCACAGGAAGCTTTTTTTCTATCATTTCTAATTTTAAAAAGTCAGAATGTCAAAGATGAGAGCTGAGACTGTGATTTCAGGAAAAAAATAAATGAAGAGAAACCGGCCCGATCGTTAAAATGTGAGATGTGAACTTTGAACTCTTGTTTCAGAGCGGAGAGGATCCTCAGAGCAGCAGTGAAGACCTTCATGGTCTGCAGAGACCTGCTGGGTCTCCATCCGGCTCGGCCATGATGTCAACTGATGAGACGGAAACCTTCAGCAGGTAAATACAGAGAGGAGAGACCTCAGGTGTCTGGTCACAGAGAGAAGGGTGAAAAATAATATTTGCAAAATTATGATCTAATAATCTCAGATGTTCGTTTTTTTTTGTAAATATATGAATTGAATCGAGAATATGTTATTTTTGATATAAATATACATTTTTCATTTTGTAAATTTAAAGTTTTTTCTCATAATATTTCCCTGTCTCCGTAACTACTATTATTCTTTACCTAAAATGTCCCGAACATGCCGTCGTAATCCCACACTGAAAAAAACACTTGAATAACAATAAATAACCTGTATAACTAAAATCAGAATAACATATTTACTGGATAATTTATACAAAAGTCTGTTTTTGTTTAAGTGTCGGATACATTTAGATTTATTGAACAAATAATTTTTGATACAATAATATTATCGGTATTATCATTTTTACTACGTGTAGAATTAGATTGTTTCTGTCCTAAAGTAAAATCCGTCGAGACACCCTCACTTTATTTATGTTGAACAAACTGATGAGTTATATTTTTATCTGTAATAAATAAAAGTCCTGCTCCTCTATGGAAACATAACCATCATGACTAGAAGTAGAGAGAACTAGAACATGTCTTTAGTGCAGAATAACACAGTTAGAATGGAACAGTTATCGTGGAAATAAATGGAGGCTATAAACTATTTACATTTTAACATCCTCTACTTTTAGCCTCTCCTCTCCTCTGTGTTCACTTCCTGAAGTTCAGTCAAAGTTTCTCTGATTGGTTGTCACATGACTGTTGGTCTCAGATGAATCAATCATGACTTCATAGTTTCGCTGAGGAGCTCACAATTTAATGTTTTTTACTAGTGCTGGGCAACGATTACAATTTTTAATCGCATGTTTTTTTTGCGATTAATCGCATTGTATTGCGGAAAGTTCAATATGAATTCAAAAGTATTGCGCACTTTTATTCTAAAAGTACTGCTATATGAACAAAAGGGCAATAACATTTGGTTTGCAAACACTTTAAACAAATAAGGTGCTTTTTAACAGCAGTATTCCCTTTATCTTCATGTGTGTAATAGCTGCAATTTGAAATATACACCTTGAAAACTGCAAACCTATCTACGTCATGTTTTTATGTTTGTTAAATTGTCAGTAGCGATAACTAGATGGCATGATTATTATACATATTCCAAACAAAAAAACTTTAAAAACTCCAAAAAAAATATTTTTAGCTTTTTTTGCTATTTTGGTCAGACACATATGAAACGCTGATTGCTGTGTAATATGTGTGGTATTTGTTATAAATGTACGTTGGTACATAGAGGGTGATAAGAAGCAGTACTTGGAGGGACTTAGGACCCAGGGTAATGTAGGTGAATAGACTGAAGAGACGCCACACAAACAGCTGTTCACCGCTCGTCACGATCCTGTAACGAGACGATCGCGCGCGCACGTACAAAGATTGATGTCCAAATCATGTCCAAGATGGCGGATGCTGGCAAGTCTTGGCTGCCGCTCCGTACTTGATTGTTCATTTTGTTAAATTTTGCTGTTTAAATAGATCCCAACACTAAAAACCTGACCGATATAGTTGAGCTGCTTGTTTGCGGCTAGATATTGCCGTCTACCATCCAATCTACTCAAACATCTTCACTGGATTAGCCACACCAGATCAACCTACCGTCTCCATCTGCCAAAGCTACCTCCGTGCTAGCCACAGGACTCCCGGGTCTGGTCCACAGCGCTACATCGCTTCCCTGCCTGCTACATTGCTTGCCAACACGAGCGGCCAGCACGAGCACACCTGTTTATCCTGCCGGGATCTTTCCATCCCGGCGCGGTTAGCAGGCTCAGGTTGGTCTTCTCCACTAGCCACAGCTGCACCAGACCTCCCATTTTCCGGGCAGGATCGTCCAGCAAATAGGCTGGTAGCCCCTCCAGGCCACCACTCCTTCCTCACCGGACTGTTGGCGTCTTGCTGCTGTTATGCTGTGGATCATCCCGTTGATACTCCTGGGTAGCACATCGCTTCTCCTCTCACGGACAGCCGGCTCTTGGTCACCAGGTAATGCTAGCACTCCCCAACCGGACCATGCCGCCGCTGTACTCCATGTCAGATCTTCACAACTTCAACAACCACCTGCGTCCGGACTGCATGGACATTCTCAAAGAACATGGAATACTTCGCCGAGGCTATTCTTCACACAGGTTCTGGCCGCATGTTGACTTACAACTTCACGTCCCCAAACTCCATCCCATCCCTCTGGTCCTGTCGCACCCGAACTTCCTTGTTACGTCACCACAACAAACAACACGTGAATCTGTCCAATCTCCGTCCCCTTCCTCAGTCCTCGCAGCCTATCACAAAGCAACGTCACCTGAAACTGGCTTTGCTCAACACTCGCTCACTCAACAATAAAAGCCTCATTCTGAATGAATTCATAACGGACAGTAACCTTGATTTTCTCTGCCTCACTGAAACATGGCATGAACCCCTGGACTCACTAAACCAGACCACTCCCACAGGATTCACATACATTGATAAACCTCGTCCTGAGGGGCGGGGAGGTGGTGTTGCTGCTGTTTACAGGAAGGACATTAACACAACCACTATTCCCATTCCTGCCGTTCATTCTTTTGAACACCTTGCCTTCAAACTCTCTGGTCCCACTCCTTTGGTTATTGCTGTAATCTACCGTCCCCCCCAAGCCAAATCCCTCCTTTCTCTCTGACTTTTCAGATTTTTTGACTCAGCTATATGCCATCTCACCTTCGTCTCCTCCTAGGTGATTTTAACACCCACATTGATAACACTGACTGTAAATCTACGACAGAATTCCTGGAACTACTACAATGCTTCAACTTCACACAACATATCAACTTCCCCACCCACAGCCGAGGTCATATCCTGGATCTGGTCTGCTCCACTGGTCTCACTCTCCAGCCTCAACCTCAACATCTCTGACCACCTGGCTATCACCATGGACATTGACATCCCTATCCCCATCCCAAAAGCTAAGTGCAACATATCCTTCAGAAATCTCAAATCTATCTACCCCACAACTCTTTCAGCCTCTCTTGCCAGTACCATGTCTGCCTCCCCTGCCCCGCTGTCTGATAATCCCTCCGATCTTGTAAACTACTACAATAACACACTCTCCTCCTGTCTTGATCAGCTGGCTCCCATCAAAACCAAAACTGTCTCATTCACACACTCCAGCTCCCTGGTACACTCCCGAACTCCACCAGATGAAATCTCGAAAGCGCCAGCTTGAAAGACTCTGCAAGAAAACCGGTTTAACAGTACATCTCCAAGCCCTCTCCGACTAC